TTTCCACTTGGAACCTGTAGGTTCGCTAGACCTTATTCATGGTTTCCTCGCGCGTAAAGGTGGTGGAATTATTAGGGAATTAAGTAAAGGTCAGAATACGGGGTATCTGTAAACACACATCCGCCACACCTTCATTTATTCGATCTCCACCCAAAACGAATAGCAGGTGAATAGCATGATATTCTCATGCTTAAGTTCAAGGTCAGAATACGCATAGAGAGAAGTGCATAAAAGGGAATTACGTTCCATTTTCTCGTGCTTAACTCGGGTCGGAATCGGGCCCTAACTGAGGAATGTTGTTAAAGTGACGGATAGTTATTTATTTAGTCATAATCATTATTCTGTGTAGCTCCCTTTTGTATTTCAGGGACAGTTCATATATTTATAGATTTGTTTATCCAAGTTTAAGTGTTTTGTTTACCTTGTTTGGAGAGTATTAGGGAGTGCCAATAACCTTACCCTCACCAAATAGCCGTTGCTGCGTTGTGTGACAGTTCATTTAGCATTCATTCATGACATCACAATAAATAAGGGTTGCATGATGTCAGTAACAAATAGAGGGAGAAGGAAAACAAAGGTTGAATTGCCTGTGATTTCCTGGTCACCAAACAAATAAATGTTTAATCAGACGTGAAGAAGTTAAAAAGGATTAATTAAATACAGTCGAATCAAATGGTTAGCCTCATTACTTTGATTTCTCTGTGCGCAGTACTTAAAGTGCACAGGCAACTTAAGTGAACTGCAGCAGCACAGCAGTGTCTTTGACTGAAAGCCACATGCCTAAATGCCCTTTTAGTCTTGAGAACGTGTCCAAATGAATGTATAGTCAAATAGCCTCATGTTTCCAAATACATGGGCCCTCTTGATGTTCCATCAAAGGACAATTGCCCGAAGCTGCTGTGAAACTGTCTTCTGACACTGATTAAATAGAGGCCAAGGACAACAGCAACCAGCTAAAAGGCAATGCTAGAATGGCCTGTAACACAGGACTTTTGAGAGAATTACATACATTTGTGAAGATGCTTATTTTACTGAGAAGAAAATGGACGATTATGATATGGTTTAATTGCTTTATTTTTAACTTTTCCATCATTGTGGATGTGCATGCTTCATCCTTTTGTAGGTTGAGTAGTCCATATGCACTACATCAGATAAAGACTAAATGGAATGGAGACAACCCATCTAATGGCAGCTATTATTGTTTCAATCAGCATTTAACACTGATGTGACAAAAGACCAATGACCAAATTTCCTAACTGTGAGTTTGCACAGAGGCACAGAGCAAGTTTATCACCCTGTTTCTATGACTAATAATGTCAGTAAATGTAGAGAGGATGTTTCCCAAATATATAATTTCCCCAAGATATTCGCTGTTGAGAGGCTATCATAGCCACCATGTCTTAGCAATTGATAATTGTGATACATTTTCCCTTCCTTCATGAGGAAATGGTTTTTAGACATTCATCTGATTTGACTCAATGTTTGTCATTGGTGACGATAAGGAATACGATTCCATGTTAAAAGCCATTAGTTTTCTATTACGGTTGAGCAAGATGGATAGGCACTCGACACTGACTGAATTACTGTGTTTAAAGCGTCAAAAGTTTTTCAAAGGAGTCTATCTCTACGGGGGCTCCCTTTGCCACTTCCCAGGGCTGAGTGTCTGAAATGGCCATAAAACTCTGAGAGGCAGACAGCCTGTAATTTCAGTAGTGAGCAGTCCGCCAAGGTATAATGGAAAAGCTGTGGCAGCCATGAAATGTGCTGCATCTCGATGTTGGAACACTATTGTCCAAACACTCCGGACACCTTTCTAAACTTTAAATTACTGCATTTAAAGTAAAAACATGCAGTACCTTTCCACAGACTCTACACCTAGTGCAGACACATATTATTGTCCAAAGTGTTTGTGAGCAATGAACAGGTTGTCCATGGAAACACCCACATGGAAGGTGTTAGTGATGACTGTTCGTTTTTACAGATGTAGAACAGAGAGGATGCGTTATGGCTAGACTGGGAAGTCTCTCAGTCTCCACACACTTCGGTTTCTCTCTATCAAATCCTGTGATGGGATGTTTTATGGAATAAGCAATTTGTTCCAGTCAGAGAGGAAGAAGATGAGAGGGTTTCTATAGAGGAGAGGGGGAGAGAGGTGCATGAAGCCCTTGTCCCTGAAACAAGGCTGAGATGTGATGTTCGCAACATGTCACATTGAGAGCCACTCTGGGTGATTTGATAGGGAGCGGAAGGAGATGGAGCCAGAGTAATGAAGTGAGGAAGAGTGGGTTTGCTCGCGGCCTATTCTGTGCATCCAGGCTGCAGAGAGTGTTACCTCATCATTTTCTCCAGACAAATCCTCAGCCTCTGCACTTCTCATTGAGATGTGGAGGACAGAGGATAATAAACATAGGACTGTTGTTGTCCTGTATTCTTTGGTTATTCATTAACAGGGATATGAGATGGATTCCAACACACCTCAACCATCTCAATTCCCCCCAAAATCTCAACTTCTGCTTAAGATTCCACATCTACCAGTCGACAGTAAACAGTATTCTGAAATTATTATCCTTATCTTGTGAGGAGCAAGGCATGCTCACTTAGGGCTACATAGTCAGAAGCATTACCTTTGGCCTTCAAGCAGAGAAGGATTGGGGCAGGTTAACATGAATAAGTCCAGTTTGGATAGGGAGGGCATGAGGGCATTACTCCATCTTAGTGGGCATCAGTAATTTGGAAACACAGGACAACAGTGCACATGCTACTCCAATAAACCTACTTAACTGGATTAGTGATGCCACCTTCCAGGCATGAATACATTTAAGCTTTTATCATAAACACACATAAACAAAATCACACTATTTTTATCATTTAAGAATCAAGTTGGGTAACACTTGAGATGGCCATTATAAGCACGTAGCTGGCAGAAAAGTAACATATCTTGACAGCACAGCCAATATCTATTTCAATTGTTATTATGATGCATGACACCTACTCCCCAAAATCTCACCAATATTCTCCACGTTTGCGGAGATTGTATTCATGGTAAGCACTGCATATATCGTCTCAATTGGAAATTACCTTTAAAAGCTGCATTGTCGACAATATGCAATCAGATTGAATCACAGGTTAAAATACATGAGTATTTTACTATTTGTTATTTATATACTTACAGTGCCTTCAGAAAGTATTCACACCCCTTGACTTATTCCACATTTTGTTGTGTTACAAAGTGGGATTAAAATGGATTTAATTGTCATTTTTCATCAACGATCGACACAAAATACTCTCTAATGGCAGTGTTAGAAAAATGCTAACATTTATTACAAATTAATGTAATTAGATAAGTATTCACCCCCCTGAGTCAATACATGTTAGAAACACATTTGGCAGCAATTACAGCTGTCAGTATTTTTGGGTAAGTCTCTAAGCACTTTGTAAACCGATTTAAAACATCTACAGGATCGGCGTCCCTATACCGGGACGGTTGCTGAACAATATGTGATATGTGACAAGAATGGCGTTGTAAATATCAGCCAACTTTCCGGGACATAGACATGTCTTATATGGGCAGAAAGCTTCAATTATTGTTAATCTTACTGCAGTGTCCAATTTACAGTAGCTATTACAGCTAAAAAAATACCATGTTATTGTTTGAGGACAGTGCACAAAAACAAAACACTTTTGTCACAGCAACTGGTTTGATACATTCACCTCTGAAGGTAAATAATGTACTTACGTTCAGTAATCTTGCTCTGATTTGTCATCCTGAGGGTCCCAGAGATAAAATGTAGCATAGTTTTGTTTGATAAAATCAAATTGTATATTCAAATCTAGGAACTGGGTTCTACAGTTTGACCCCCTGCTGTCTCTAATGAATAACTTCACCACGCTCAAAGGGATATTCTGTGTCTTTTTTTTCTTTCTCATAACAAAATTATAAAAAATACACATCTACCAATCAGTGCCCTTCTTTGTGAGGCATTGAAAAACCTCCCTGGTTTTTGTGGTTAAATCTGTGCTTGAAATTCACTACTTGATTGAGGGACCTTATGGATAATTGTATGTGTGGGGTACAGAGGTGAGGTAGTCATACATTTTTTATTTTAACCACTATTATTGAACACAGAATGAGTCCATGCAACTTATTATGTGATTTGTTAAGCACATTTTTACTCCTGAACTTGTTTAGGCTTGCCATAACAAAGGGGTTGAATGACTGAAGACATTTCAGATTTTCATTTTTATTGAATTTGAAATACATTCTTAAAACAAAATTCCACTTGGACATTGTAGGGCATTGTGTGTAGATCAGTGACACAACATCTAAATGTAATCAATTTTAAATGCAGACTTTAACATAAATAAAATGTGGAAAAAGTAAAGGGGTGTGAATACTTTCTGAAGGCACTGTATTTTCTGTGTATTTGAGTATTTGCAAATAATGTGGCCCGAATCAGCTACTTCTATTGGAAGTATTTAAAAGTATTTTCAAATAAATTCCTATGAAAATATTTTCTAATACTTAATTCCAAATAAATTATTTTAAATATCAAACAGACCTGGGTTCAAATGTATTGGAGTATTTATTTGTATTTAAAAATAGAGTGTGTTTAAGTATTTCCAAATACTTGCCAACTCTTTCCAAGTGTATTTCCAAATACATTCCAATATTCAACTACTTGTGTTTTCAAATACGAAATATCAAAATACTTACTTCCAAATGTCTTTGAAAGTAATTGAAATACCCCAAATAGTATTTGAACCCAGGTCTGATGTTGTGTGCCAACAATGTGAATGATGCACCCTCGTGCGGCGGTGAGTGAAAACGTGACAACATTTATTCGACGTTTATTTAGCTAATTAGACATTTATTCAGCGTATATGCTCAAACTTACACATAGTGGGCTGCTGTTGAACCATGAGTGAATCGGTTGATAGGAAATATCACACTTCCAGGGTGTGTGTTGCTGGTGTAGCCATCTGTGTTTGTTTGTGTGCAGGTCTAGACTGGCTGATTTCCACATGAACTGTATGGTGACTCAGCATACGGTCAGCAGCTGCCCAAATGAGGACAACTACCAGGCCTGTCTGGCCTCCTACGCCGGCCTCATTGGTAAGTGCATGGGACTTTTTGGCTATACGTATCCCGGTAAAACTTGACAAGCCTGGAGGCATAATGCTTTATTAGTTGTTATAAGCATGTATGAGCTTGTATAATGGATTATTTTAAAGCTTATAGAATGTCATACTTCGCTGTGTAGGACGTTTTTTATAACTGACGCAATATGGCTGTTATTTTGTCAGGATCATTGGAGATGATAATAAGACATTTTAGGGTGTTAAAACATGCTTATGACTAATAATTAATTATAACCACATTATAATGCACTATACCTGCATACTTTAGGTAAAGTGATACCCATACACCTCCTCTTATTCTCCCCCCAAACACATTGCACATCAGTGGCTGAGTGGAGGTGGCAATGCAAGAGAGCGTTTACTTCATTAAAACATTTAATGACTCATATAGTAAATGTTCTTCAAATAGAACAAGGAAAATTGGCGCAGCAAAGACATTCTTCCATACCAGTAGACATTTGAGAGCACCTTCGTAATGAGTTGGCACTATTCAGTACGATCAAGGAGGTAGACAAAAGGAGTTATGTTTTGACTACTTTGAGTGAACCTACAATACCCTTTGGAGATGGCATAGTAATAACGTTCCCACTACCACCTGTCTGTAATTTAATTGTTGATAGTTGCTATATAAGTGTCAAACATACTGTATCTCTAGAGTAAACTGACATTCTATTACCCTTGCTAGTGCTTCTGGACTACACAGTATAAGATGTTTTTCCACAAATAAAGATCTCCTCTCCTGAAAGCATTATCAAACAGAATTGCTGTTTTTGGTTACATCTTTCTAAACTAATATGACTAGCTCTCTCCGGATGGACACTCCACATCTAAAACAAGAATCAATCAGCATACTACTGTTAGGTGGCTTCCTTTCCCTCTGCCTCCGTGGTACAATAGTCCCCGTCGCCATTAGTAACATACTGTAAGCCTGTGTAGGTAGCGTTACTCTATATAGTAAATGTAGTCCATTATTATCCATTAGTGGCCTGTGAATGATCTGTAACTGTAGCGTTATTCTCACCTCTATAGGGACAGATATGACTCCCAATTACATGGACAGCAGTTACACCAACTGGACTGTCTCCCCATGGTGCACCTGTAAAGGAAGTGGGAACCAGGAAGAGGAGTGCGAGAGCTTTCTGAGGGACTTCACAGAGAACATGTGCTTGAGTGAGTCACGCTTGCATTTCAAATCTGTTTTGTAACATACAAGACCACCACTGATATGATTTGAAAATAACCACCATTCAAATCTGTAGTGTGTTTCCCTCGAAACTGAAAGTGAACCGGCACATCTGATGTATTTTAGTTGTTCTGAGTTAGATTTTGGGTCTGTGTTTTTTTGTTTTTAAGGCGATGTCTCGCGGCACTCTGTGAGGTGTGTGGTGTATGGGTAATATTGACTGGCTGGTATTGTAGCAGTTATTTAATTCACATTAGATCAATGTTCCTTTCTTTCCACAGCTCATTGTTGGAATCAACCTCTAAGTCTGATAACAAACCAACCAAACCTCTTTGGCCACTTATTGTGTTTGGTTTGAAATAACAAGATACATTTAGAGCCGTTTCTTATCAACTCATTACACCTCAGTACCCTAACATTTGGAAAAGACTTGTTCTACAGATTATGGGATAAAGCAATTATTTGCATGTCATTTCCACATTTTACCTTAGATATTACAGTGTTTATCAGTCTAGGAGAAAAATATAATCTAAGGTTAGGAAAAGCATCTTAACGTCACAATTTAGTAGTCAAATGTCAGGGGTACCGCCTCACCATTGTGATGTACCTTGCAATGTCATCAGAATTACAAGATACCATTGCTTTTAACATGTTCCATTGTGTGCGTAATGCTTTCAGACTTTTTCAATAGATTGCCATGGCACACTTTTAGCTGAATCTGCAAGATGAGGGATGAGGCTTGTAGCCGAGGAGGCGTCTTGAAAAAGAATACAACATGCAGCATCTCCTCTTTGCAGTGTAAAGGAACTGGAGAAGATAAAGTGAAATAGATTAAGCTTTGCTCTTATACATTAAGTGGGGGGACATAACAGTCCACAGAGACGGTACATATTATGTACAATTAGATAATAGGCTAATCGTATTCAGCCTCCTCCCTGCAGGTAATAGCAATAGGGTTAAAACAACGTATCTGAAGTCATAAAAATATGGAATTGCTGTCGGCAGTGAACTTAATCACTCGGTGGAACATTTGGGTGCAGTAAAGCATCCGCTGAAGGAGCCCTCTAGCCAACTTTGGTGATTTATTTTTTTATTCCCCTAGCACCCCTCTGGGTGATCTTACCACCCCAGCAAACAGATGCATGAAAACAACACTCTTGTCTTGACTTGACCAGCATCTTATTGCAAACCTTAAGATACTTTACAAGGCTTTCAGAAATCACAAGCATTATGTTCTTCATAGCTTTGCCATTCCTCCTAGATTTGTATTGTAACCAACCCAAGGCCGAGATATCCGAGCACCCCATGGAATGACTTCTGAAGTCAATATGTCTTTACAACATGCTGTGTTTACAGTATATATGCATGTGTGTGAGGGTGCGTGTGGAGGTATATGTATTGGGGTGTGTGTGTTTGCAGTGTGTGCATACTTTCTTTGCATGTGTGTCATTGCTCTCTCATTTGTTCTCTCTGAAAGGGAGAAAAAGATATATATATATATATATATATATATATATATATATATATATATATATATATATATATATTTAAAATAAACACGTGTTCTGTTAAAATGGACAAGCAGAGTGAAAATGCCCACACCCAAAATTGGGCAGAGGACCAAAAAGTTGACTTAGAGCTGACTGTTAGCTGCCGCAACACTGGGAAGACAGTCAAGACAAATTACTTTATCTCTTTGTCCCCACAGGAAATGCCATTCAAGCATTTGGTTATGGAACAGACAGTCTCTTCCACAAAGCTGAGTCTGTCCCATCGACCCCCTCCATGAAGCCTGGATTAGAGACCTCGGTCAGCACCTCAGAGCCTCTAGATAACCCCAATGATGTCCAGCTTGAGGATGAGGCCAACGGGAAGGTAGGCAGGGAAATCACCAGCTACTATAGCACCTGCTGCCACATTCCAATTACCAGGGTCGTGTTCATTATTAGGGCACGCAATGGAAAACGTTTTAAAGTGTTTTGTAGCTGAAAACGAATTGGACAATACCAGGAAGTCTCTCCCTGTTTCAGTCCATATTTTTCCTTTAGGTGCCTAATGAACATGACCCATTTATCACCTGGCGCTAGATTAAATGAAAACTGGTAAACATGGGTATATTCACTGGGGTGAAACATTTAGAATGTTGCATATAATGCATAGAGCTGGCAATAATTGCTATTCTACATGAAACAGAATCATGTCAGTCCTATTTTCTGTTGAGTATATAAATCCAAATGTGCGTATGAAGATGTTTTTGACCTATCCCACAGACCCAGTTACTGTGTTTGACCGAATACTGAATTGGGACCTTGGTACGGCATTAAACAAAAAAAGTCATTGTTTTTATTACATGAGTAATATAGGGATATTTATAATTCCATGTTTCATGCATGGCTGAGAAACAACACCGTTTTGGCATCATTATTATGTTTGGAAAGACTCCTATAAAGATGTTGAATGCTGAGCAATTTCAGGCTTTCACATCCATTAAATGGTCATCTCTTACACTGTTCTGTACACAACCCACATTGTGATAAAGACAGCAAATTAATATCTTAAAAATGGTGTGAGGGAGAGAACTAATGAATAAGCCACACTGATAACATTAACAGTAGGAGGTAGAGGGGAGCGGTGGAATTGCTTTCTCCAAAGGTTCTGTATGTATGTCCGTGTTGATGCACCACTCTGTGCCTCTCTCGCTGCAGTGCAATGCTTAATTTATTGTAAAAATGGTAATTAGGAAACAATAAGACGTGTGATTACTCAAGCAGGAAGTTTATAATTAGAGAGGGAGCCGGTGGGGACATTTTGGGTGGCCCTTCATTCTGCAGCAACTATGCTTGGCAATTAAAACTTGTCAAACTTCCATCGTAGATTAATTGGGGGAATACTGATATGACTTCTCTTGGCAAAAGACTGGCTGTCTAGCCTCATAAATCTCATGAGTGCTCAGGACCACATGCATGCTGGTGTCCAGTTAGTGGAATTGTTACGCTAAAGGAAATGACATAGTCTGCTGTGTGTTTGATGGCTGGACAGGCTCCCCCAGACACTCGATAAGTAATCTGAAGTTTTGTTTGATAAATGAGGCCCGTGGAGAATTACACCCGATTGGGCTGTGCTGCTCAAGCTTAATTCCCTCTCAAGTCAATTTCCCTGTATTCGGTATCACCAACAGGTCAATTGTGCTATGTGAGTTTGTTTACTTGTAAAGCTTTATTCTTCCTTTAATACTGTTAGCTATGGCCTTATGTCCAGGAAATTCTACCTTATTCAGTCAGTAACTATGTTCTCAAGATGTGTTCTCAAGAGATCGAAAGAGAGGAAATATCTAGGTGACATTTCACTTTGTCTTATCGCTGTTCACAAGTTTAGGAAGTGAAACTGTTGAGGGCTGTTGAATGTATAGGGATATGAATAATGTGGATAAGATGTCATTTTCCTTACCAATCAGGATTTCAATTAATTCAGTGGACAGGCCTTAATAGTGATGCTAACATTTATTAACGGAGAGGTTCTGGAAGAAGCATTTCACTGAATGAAACTTAATTTAGTTTATTAAAATAATGCAATTTAGCCTACAGAGGAAGTAGGATAAGCAAGCAAAACATTTCCCATTGTATATTAAATTAATTATTATATTATTATATTGATTCTATTAATGTTCTCCACAAGAGTTTTGTAAGTGTTTCGGTGCGTTCAGATCCACTTAAGAATCCATTGTGCCATAACCATTGGGATAAATGTGTGGTGCAATAGTTGTAGACGTTACGTTGGTGCAGCCTTTGCATAGATATGTGCAAGCACTTTAACATGACCTGAAAATACCAACTCTGTCGTTGGCCTAGTCATTGCTCACTGCCTGGCTGTGCTTTGTGTAGAATAGAGCCCATAATGTCACTGTCATTTCAGCTGTTTGTAAATGGGGATCAAGAAGTGTTTTAAATGTCCCATTGTAATTGTCTGCTTATCTACAAGTGACTCAGAAAATGACAAACTCACTAGGATGTCTTTGTATCACTCACTGTATGGGAGTTTCACATACTGTTTTTCTGTGTGTACGTTCCTTCAGAAACCTGATTGGAATTTAAATGGCACATCTTAACACATTTTTTAATCAGGAAAATAATGCCTTTTTCTAGTATTTTTGGAGAGTCATGCATTATGTAAGTGGACCATTGTATAAGTGAGAATTAGCCCTCGCTTCAGAGTCAATTTTTTGCTTTTGTGCCCCTGACTGTACAGTACATTGTGTTGATTTGCAGCTCAATTGAATATAATTGATTGTGGACCAACCCTGGGTTACTCAATAACCAGCCCTGGAAAACGCAGCTGAACATTACTGTTCGACGAAGCTCTGATCAATTCTAAAACGTACTACCTTCACAAAACTAAATTAATAATATCTTGTTATCCCCAACAACATGTTGTGTGTGGGTGCGTGAGTATCTGTGTGTGTGTGTGTGCATGTCTATGTGTGTCTCTGTGTGTGTAAAAATATTGGCTACAGACAAAGATCTGGACCGATGTCAACAGGCTGCTGCTACACATCACTGCACCTGCTAATTAATTGGCTTTTAGTTGCGGATGTGTTTGCTGCATTGTCAAGCAACGATTGCTTTTTTGGCAACTGTCATTTAACCATTTCTCTGTACAGTCACACATTTGAAACCAAGCTCTTCCATAATAAATACAGCCTTTCCTTTCACCTAAAACCCATTAAAAAAACATCTCTCAGTGCTTATATGACTTTACCATTTACAATTTTTTTCATGATTGTATTTTTCTAAAACAGTTTGGCCATGTTGAGTTGGCTTGTGTTGGAGACACTGCTATTAGAACATGAGAAACCGGAAGATAATATCTGACTATGTTTTTCTCTGTGTACAGGGAAATGAACCAAAGTGGAATCTCTCAAAAGGCTACATTGGTGGAGATGAGGTAAGGAAGGGAGGAGGGAATAGTACATGTTTCTGTTGATGTGCTATAGCTTTGCAGGGGGAAATGGTGCCTCCATAAATCGAGAAAGCTGCAGTTACAGTGCCTTCAGAAAGTATTCACACCCCTTGACTTATTCCACATTTTGCTGTGTTACAGCCTGAATTGTAATGGATTAAATATAGTTTTTTTGTCACTGGTCTACACACAATACCCCATAATGTCAAAGTGGAATTATGTTTTTAAAAATGTTTACAAATGAATTAGAAATGAAAAGCTGAAATGTCTCTAGTCAATAAGTATTCAACCCCTTTGTTATGGCAAGCCTAAATAACTTCAGGAGTAAAAATATGCTTAACAAGTCAGATAATAAGTTGCATTGATTTACTCTGTGTGCAATAATAGTGTTTAACATGGTTTTTGAAAGACTACCTCATCTCTGTACACCATACATACAATTATCTGTAGGGTCCCTCAGTCGAGCAATGAATTTCAAACACAGATTCAACCAAAAAGACCAGGGAGGTAAATAAAAAATAAAAAAATAAAAAGCAGACATTGAATATGCCTTTGAGCATGGTGAAGTTATTAATTACACTTTGGATGGTGTATCAATACACCAATCACTACAAAGATATAGGCATCATTCCTAACTCAGTTACCGGAGAGGAAGGAAACCGCTCAGGGATTTCACCATGAGGCCAATGGTGACTTTAAAACAGTTACAGAGTTTAATGGCTGTGATAGGAGAAAACTGAGGATGGATCAACAACATTGTAGTTACTTCACAATACTAACCTAATCCCCAAAGCCAACACCTCCTTTGGCCGCCATTCCTTCCAGTTCTCTGCTGCTAATGACTGGAACGAACTGCAAAAATCTCTGAAGCTGGAGACTCTTATCTCCCTCACTAACTTTAAGCATCAGTTGTCAGAGCAGCTTACCAATCACTGCACCTGTACACCGCCCATCTGTAATTAGCCCACCCAACTACCTCACCCCCATATTGTTATTTATTTTGCTAATTTGCACCCCAGTATCTCTATTTGCACATCATCTTCTGCACATCTATCACTGCAGTGTTAATACTCTGTGGTCCTCTGTAGCTCAGCTGGTAGAGCACGGCGCTTGTAACGCCAAGGTAGTGGGTTCGATCCCCGGGACCACCCATACACAAAAATATATGCACGCACGACTGTAAGTCGCTTTGGATAAAAGCGTCTGCTAAATGGCATATTATTATTATATTATTATAATACTAATTTGTAATTATTTTGCACTATGGCCTATGTATTGCCTTACCTCCATGACTTACTACAATTGCACACGCTGTATATATATTTTCTATTGTGTTATTGACTGTATGTTTTGTTTATCCCATGTATAACTCTGTGTTGTTGTTGTTTTTATCGCACTGCTTTGCTTTATCTTGGCCAGGTCGCAGTTGTAAATGAGAACTTGTTCTCAACTGGCCTACCTGGTTAAATACAAAATAAATACAAAATAAAATAATTGACAGAGTGAAAACAAGGAAGCCTGTACAGAATACAAATATTCCAAAACATGCATCCTGTTTGCAACAAGGCACTAAAGTTGCACTAAAGTGGCAGAGTTACAGTTTTCACTTAAATCTACTTGAAAATCTATGGCAAGACCTGAAAATGGTTGTCTAGTAATGATCAACAACCAATTTGACAGAGCTTGAAGAATTTTGTAAATAATAAATGGCCAAATTTAGCACAATCCAGGTGTGTAAATCTCTTAGAGATTTACCCAGATAGACTCACATCTGTAATTGCTGCCAAAGGTGCTTCTACAAAGTATTGAATACTTAAGTGTAAATTAGATACTGTATTTCTGTATTTGATTTTCTATAAATTTGCCTAAATTTCTAAAAACATGTTTTCACTTTGTCATTATGGGGTATTGTGTGTAGATGGGTGAAAAAAAATACTGAATCCATTTTGAATTCAGGCTGTAACACAACTAAATGTGAAATAAGTCAAGGGGTATTAATACTTTCTGATGGCACTGTACTTGAAGGCAAATTGAAAACACATTCAAAATGCCTACAATGTTATGGAAATACACATAATAAGGCCATAGTAGAATGGGTATTACTGAGTAACTCTCTTGGGTGTACAATATCTAGAAGAGCATGTCCATTCTATACTTTCTTCTAATGTACTGTACAACATACTGTAGTTGCCTTTCACATTGCCTGCTGTTGTCCATGGTGAAATGACTGAATTTTCTATGTCTTCATGTGGAGAAGTGACTGATATTGTACAGAAATAAAACCTATCCAAATAGCTAGGATGCAGATTAATAGATTAATATGTGCTATGCCTGTACTATAGCTTGTGCTTTCCTTGGAAGTAATACTTAAAACTTTTAAGCTGGCATTACCTAAAGGGGATTGAGAATGAAGCCTGAGCTCTGCACTATGCCAATACATGTAAAAGCAGAGAGTACACCCAAAAGACTTCAACAGCAGTCGCTTTCAACATATTTCATATGTGCCTCAAATGTGTTCATGTTTTTATTCACGTGGAGTGGCTGTGGATCAGTATTTGACCCTTTCTATGTAAAACAGAACACTTGGACTCACTGAGTCATTCCTAACCTTTCCACCCAGCCTCTACTGGAGCCCAGCAGTGGTTACGATGACCTGACCAGACCGGAGGGCCCTCCTGAAGACGGGTCACCCTGTGTCTGTGCCAGTGTCTGGGCGCTGCTGCTCAGCCTGACTTCCGCCGTGGCCAACCATGCCCTATAAACCTCCCTGTGGGTTGTTGTCGACCAACAAGCTGATCCCCAACGCAGAGGCTTGTTCGAGGATGTTTTTTTTTTTAAGGCATTGTCATGCTATTTCAAAAAGGAGAGGCAGAGAGAACACAATCTGAGATAAACTGAAATATTCTTTATTTGATGTAACATTTTGGGTTTTGAGGACCACTATGATCAAGAAAATGGCTTATGGACCCTTATCATGGTGAAGTCTCAGTGGCTGTTGGCTGTCTTCCCATCAGTAACACTGACAAAGACCCAAAGTATAATGTCAAAGAGGAGAGCAAGAAAGACAGAGTGAGAGAGTGAAAGAGAGAGAGTGTGAAAGATGGAAATGGAGAGAGAGAGTGTGATAGATGGAAATGGAGAGAGAGAGAGGAGAGAGAGAGTGTGAGAGATGGAAATGGAGAGAGAGAGTGGAGAGAGAATGTGATAGATGGAAATGGAGAGAGAGAGAGAGGAGAGAGAGAGTGTGGGAGATGGAAATGGAGAGAGAGAGAGGAGAGAGAGAGTGTGAGAGATGGAAATGGAGAGAGAGAGGAGAGAGCGCTCTGCTGTCTGTCACTTGATTTCGTCTTGAAACAGTGCTCGACTTCTTTAAAGGGACAAACCTCAAACTTTGTTTCCAGAAGAATTATGACATTTGTGTCTTTTCAAAAGTGTAAGGCCTAGATTCAATCAGATGAAGCATTAACCAGCGATAGCATAGCTGTGGTTTTGGCCGTGTCAGAGGTGGAACTGCGTTGGAGCTGTCAAAACGGTGAGCACTGAGCAGCTGCTCTTGTGATCATTGTCACGAAGTCACACCCGTCCCACTCAAGTTCATAATGAGAAAGTGTAGGCTATATAGAAAGAACTACTCTCAAATTGAAAAATCATGAAATGAAATAATGAGGGTTTCTATCAGTCTAATCCAGGTGTAGATTACATCTCACATTCCAGTGTTGAAATGTATAAACAAGGCTGCATGGGATTTATATTAATGCGACTCTGTGCAGCCAATGGCAATGTCCGCTCTAACGCAGCTCCACCTCTGACACTGTCAAAACATCAGCCATGCGGATGTCGGCTAAAGCGGATCTGATTGAATCGGCCCTAAATCGAAACTCAACTCAGTGTATCCGTGTTGGTATAGTAACGGTGAACATTATCTTTAGTACAGCCCTTTTATTTCAGTGCTATATTTTTTCAACAGACAAAAAAATGAAATACAATGTTAACTGATTCTTATTTGAGATGTTATTGTTGATAATGAGTTAGAGTAAATATCCACCGTCTGTGTATATAACAAACTGTTTTCTTTCAATCAACCAATATAAAACAAACTGTTTTCTTTAAATGAGCCAGTATAAAAATAAACTGTTTTCTTTCAATGAACCAATATATAAAAAACAATTTTCTTACAATTAACCAATATTACCTATTGGTATTACCTTATGGTCAAGGCGATATGACGGAACTGTATTGTTGAGTACAGAGAACAAATTCTGAGGGCAAAGTTGGCACTGTTTATGAAGAAAAAAGTTGCCAATGATACTGGTTGTATGCCTTCATAATTTGTATTCAATTTTGTCTATACAGGTTCAGATCATAGTCAAATAAGAATGTATAGAGGGATGAAATTAAATTAGCTCCATTTGCTTGGAAAGTCATTACCTGTGTGTATTATAGTGTGCTTTGTACAGTGCAAATACACGTGGCCTTACCTATTGCTCGTACCACATTCTCCAGCTCATGGGACATTGCAACACATAGTAACGCTTTACCAAATGAATCATTCAAATGGATTTGTGTCGAAACAACACAAGCCATCAGATCAATATTTGACTACATAAATGCCTGGGATTGAACCCTTCTGTTTCCATTGGACTGTTCCAACAGAGGTGTCTATAAATACTCACAGTTTATAGCTGCCGCACATTCTGCTGTGTTGAGTTTTTTCCCAATTAATCTTTTTTTTGGATTGGTCAGTTTGTAGCTGAGTCTTGCAAATGACATCATGACGTACGGTCTATAATTGATTACAATATTGGCTCTGGCCTCCTATAAAGCCAATCAAATGCATGAGGTAAATTAAGAGTTTTGACATGTAGTAATGTAAATAAATAAACTGATCACAATTCACCCCTCACACAGTATAGGTCCAGGCATAAGGGTATTTGGGGTTTCAGCATTTCTCACACAGTTAAGTTACATTTATGCTGATTGATTAATACAAAACTGAACAATTTTGAAAATTATTACTGCAAACGTGACCACTCAATGGAAGTCAAGACTGAAAACACTGAAAACAAAGACTGCCCACAAAGTAGTTCCTGACAATAAATACATCACGTGTGGCAGCTTATATAAGGCGAGAGGCAGAGAGTACTCAAAGATGGGATGTCATGGTTACCTGTGTGTATGAGTGTGTAAGTGATTGAAAGAGTGAGAAGGAAAATTATGTGAGAGGGAAAATTGTGCTTGTGTGTGCGTGTGTGTGTGCATGTGTGTTTGTGTGCATGTTTGTGTGTGAGAGATCTCAAAGCAGGAATGTGCTAGAGGTGCAGTTTTATAAAGATGCTGCTGGAGTCCAGGGGGTTTGTGTGGTGGGATTTGGGGGCATGAGAATAAGAAAGCAGCAGGTTTCTGTGCGTTCACACTTGATTAATGAGCCAGTGGGATGATGTTTCTTATCAACACTCTGCACATGTTGGTGAGAGCAGTAAGGTTTACCAGACTATGGATCCTCCAATCAGAGACAGCTCCACTTCCTTCCCATAATTCCACTTGTTTCAGTGACACCTGCCTGTGTGACTCTTTTCTCTTTGGTGTGATTTGTTTTACACCAACCACTGTGAAACACTGAACATCATACAGACATAGGATCTTAATTTGAGCCAGTTTGCTACAGGAGGAAAATAATCCTGCAGAAAAAATAAATGTTAATTATTATCAGTATTATAATTAATGGACATTTTTGTAGGGGTTGATATATTTTCCATAAGGGAAAATCAAGTCTGAAATTTCAAAGTGGAAATTACAAACTTCAGAAGCCTTTTTAAACCTGAAATACACTACACGTATTACATGTCCTGCATTGCAGAAATGTTCTCCTGCAACAGGGTGATCAAATGAAGATCCTACATCTGTACTTCATGGTTCAGTTAGCGAATTATAGTGTAGCCTAGCGTACAGTTGGGGGTTTCAGTTTATGATACACTTGATAAGCTGGAGTAACTGGAGCGTTTATTTATGTTTACACTGGCTGGTGTAAATGGTGCTATCTAGAACCTAAAAGGGTTATTTGGCTGTCCCCATAGGATAACCCTTTGAAGAGCCCTTTTGGGTTCCAGGTAAAACCCTTTTGGGTTCCATGTAGAACCCTTTCCACAGAGGGTTCTACATGGAAGCCAGAAGGGTTCTACATGAAACCAAAAAGGGTTTTACCTGGAACCAAAAAGGGTTCTCCTATGGGGACAGCCGAATAACCCCTTTGGAACCCTTTTTTCTAAGAGTGTACTGTATGGGGAGTCTACAGTTTCCTTGCAAGAATAGGAGAGGCCAGAGCCATATATAGAGAGAGTTAGGCCAACATAAATATTCCCCATGTAATGCTAATGAAGAGCTAACATGGCTGCCATAGAATGTTGAAGTATCATGTAAATGCATCATAATGCTGAAAAACTGCATTGGCCCAACTCTATATACAGTATATGGCTCTTGGAGAGCTGTTGTGGAAATGCAAGGCAGGTTATTGGAAAGGAGGAAATGAAGCACGTTTTTCCAAAGGTACTGGTGATACTCTATATTCCACACATATTGAGCACTTAGGCTGCATGCGCATTCATTTTTGTAATTTTACCCTTGATCTTTCTTTAATTTCATTTTTAACTGGTTGCTTCATAAGTCAAGAACAGTCTGGCTTTTTTGCAAAGGGTTACATTTGTAAATTGAGCATAGTTGGGTAAGAAAAAATTATATTTTAAAATCAAAAACCCTCTGAGCCTTTTCTTAAAGGGATAGTTCATGCAAAATCTATGTTTTTGTCAAATTACCTTTACCTTGAGTTGTGTCTGAAGGCCCACGGTGACAGAATCCACAATAATGCATTATTTACTCCTGGCTACAGCCTGCATTGTCAGATTTCATTAATGGAAACAGCTGGGCCTTTAGACACAACTCAAAGTAAAGGTAGTTTGACCCAAATATAGATTTTGCATGAACTATCCCTTTAAGCAAGCAACTGTGTTGTCAAGGGAGTGGACAGAGCTATTGAACCACCCTACTTGAGATGTAATTCCCTGCTCCGTTGAAGAAAGTCTGGATATTACTATTGGAAAGAGGAGAAGCTCTAAAGCAATCATATAGATTCTGCTATGCTGTGTGAGTTTGACTGCGTCATCGCCACTCCCTGTCTTTCACATCTGGGATGATTATTGACGGAGCCATCATCTCCAAAGCTGAACATCTGTAACTAAATTCTACTCTTTTGGTGATGGGATCTTGGTCTCGCACAGCTGTGTGGTTTTATCTCTGTAACCAGTGGAAGGCTTCCACTAAAGTGCTGGCTGCTAGGAAATCTTATGACGTTTCATTTGTACACACAGTGTTTCCTAATATTTGATACGGTTTTTCCAGAGAACATTTCCAATTGAATCAAATCAAACCAAATTGTATTTTTACGGTGCTCTTTACAAACTCAATTGACACAAAGTATTGAAGAACAAACTGGTTATAAACTTCCCAAAGATCAAGTCAGGGCGACAGAGACAAGGACTGGGCATATGGAAGGGTAGCTGTTAGTTAGGCCAGGACTAGCTCCAAAAAATACAGGTAGCCTGACTTCTACTCTGTGGGTGAGGCTAATGGCAACTCTGCAGGGGCGGACTTGGACCAAAAATAGTCCCTGGCATTTCTAACACATTGAGTTAACAAAATCTAAATCAAATAAAATGTTATTTGTCACATGCGCCGAATACAACGGGTGTAGAATTTACAGTGAAA